TAAAATAATTTGTTGCCTTCGCACACTCCGAGTTCACTCTACGGCATGTTCACTGTACACGCTTGCCAGCTCATTTGTATGTATGTATTCGTGTATCCTCGTGTGCCGTAACCTCGCCTGTTGCCTTGAGGGCTTTCAGCTTCAGTTTCAACAGCTGCTGTTGCCGTGCTAGGATCGAGCAACGGTATTTGCATGCAGCAGCAGCAGCAGTGGCAGCGGCAGCAGCAGCAGTGGCAGCGGCTGCGGCAGCAACAGGCAAACTGAGTTAATTTCGCTTCGCGTGCGCTTTTCAATTTGTTGGCCCCATTTGGTGCACTAAAAACACACAATTGCTAAAGTCACTTAAGAACCGTGTACAGTCTATAGCAATACATTAGCAACAATTATAGAGAATGTGGCATGCTTCAAAATTGTTGCACTTCTGTGCACCTCAACACGATCTATTTTAGCAACTTCTCATTTAGTAAGATATACAGAAATACTACAATCCGACTAGGATGGAGAGCTGACAACCTCAAAAGCGTTTCTTCTATGCATATCCATTGTTAATTGGAAGAGCTTAAGCAGGAAATACCCGTAGCTCTGTCCATGCCTGACCTGACTTCCGAAAGACGCGTGACCAGATCAGAACCGCGAGCAGACATGAGCTGGATATAGACGTAGCTCTCTGGCATTTCCAATCAGATTGCGTTTTTTTTTCTATGCACACGTGCGAGCATTTCGATTTTGCAATGCTGTCAAGTTGTGAAAATTTCATTTTTCAAGCATTTTCACCGCAACATTGCGGCTATGACAGCTGTAAGCTGTGGGCACCGACTGCAGTGGCCTGCCTTGAGTTGTAATTTGAATTTCAAGTACACGCCTGTCAGTGCAGCTCCCATGCCACGCCTCGTTTGATTTCTATGCGTCACGCACAGCCCTGGACGTTTGGGGGGCATGGCCGCTATGCTTGATTTCCTTCTATGCTTTTTTTTTATGTACAATGAAACTCGAACGGAAGTGTAAATTGAGCACTTGAAGCCTGCTGCCTGCTGCCTGCTCCCGCTGCCTGCTCCCGCTGCCTGCTGTCTGCTGTCTGCCAGCCGCACAGCTGCCATCCGGTGCGCATGCTGTGCGTGTCTTTTGCGGTTGGGCGTTATGCATAAAATGTGCTTTACTATACATACATACATATATATACTATACATACTATACATACGGTATGTATGTTTGTGTGTATGTGCTCGTTGTTTGGTACTTGTAGTTAATTCTGCGTAAAGCCCCAATTCGCATATTCAGTCAGCTGGGATTGCGCCTCGCAGTATGCTACACGTTTTCGCTTTGACACAAACATATGCTGCCAGCCGCCATGTGCTGGTCGCTGTGCATGCGTATGCCTATGTGCGTGTGTGTGTGTGTATGGGGAGTGTTAATGTGGCTTTTCAACTCCCTTGCCAGCAGTTCAGTCAGTTGCAATAAATAATTTCGCGTTTCAACTGGTATACAAAAAATACATGCACACATATACTTATACAACAAAATAAATAAATAAATTAATAATAATAATAAGAGCATTATTAAAATATAATTAATCTGTCAGCGAGTTGGCGGCAAGGCTCAGCGAGCGGCCGCAGCTAGTAATTATGATTAGACGAAGGACGCAGGATGCCATGCGGCGCTGGGTCCTTGACAGCACGCGTTGGCGATGCCATGGCCAAGCCATGGCAAGCGCACACACATACTTGCATAGCTGCATGCATATGTATGTATGCGTGTGACTGATAAAACAGTATATCGCATTTTAGCTAATCACACGCACTCAATACATATGCATAAATGTACATAGACAGCGAGCGGGAGTGCGAGGACTGACGCAGTCAAAGTTAATTAAATTATAACTAAAGCTTTTGTCGACACATACGCCACAGTTGGCGTTTTCAATAGTTGTTCTTGTTGTTGTTGTCGTTGTAATGCTTAGCACTACTAACTGTTGCGCGCCGCTTGTTGCCTTATCAGACAGCAACACAAGTAACAACAATGTGGCCAGCTTTTGTTTATGACGCGCACATTACACACTCACACAGACACATATTTCACAATCGCTTTGTTTTAGCTATTGCTTAACTTCCACACACACACACACACGCACACACACACACACACAAATAACAACAGGCGCCCAATTGTTGCATTTGGTATTTCTGAGTAGACTTTTGAGCGCAAATTACTTACTTGGCACGCAGGGCCAGCTGCCTGTCGCTGGGGCAGACAAACTTATTGGCCGTATTATTGCGATTCGCGAAATCCATTTCACATATTATATAGATAATGCAACATTATGCTTGTCACCCACGTATACACGAAAAATATTGTTTTCAAATAAAATACCAAAAAACACAAAAAAAAAAAATGAAGCAGCTTGCACACTTGTTTATTCCGGCTTAGTAATTTCAAATTTTGTTTGCCGGATGCAGACAAATAAACAATCTACACAAGAACAACAACAGCAAAAAAAACTGTAAGAATCTTGCTTGAAACACGTCTTAATTCGCACGCAGCTGGTGCGCGTCTATGCCAATGTAAGTTCTGCTGCAGCAGCCACAGGCCCACCACAGCTACAGTCGCTGAATTGACCCATTCGCAAGTCGCAACGGCCGATAGCGATGGGCCGAGTGCTGTAAATACTATCGACAAGCGTGCTAAACATCGATTACAAACAGCATGAAATCAACTAAAAGAAGGATAAATAATGAGTGGTAAATAATTAATTGAATCAACGAAACAATAGCACAGTAACAAAAATATGTTGTAACTTAATTTATTTTTTAAATTGTTGCTACTTTTATATATGAAGAAATATTGAAGTGCACAAATATTTGCTTAACGTAAATAGCGTAATTTCATTTGAGTACATTCAATTGCACTGTCAAGGTAAACGGTCGTGTAACGAGCGCCTATAATATGTGCGATCGATAACATATCGCATGCACACGATAGTTGCTGTAGCGGCTCGTTTTTGCTCAGTCTTTGTTCAGTGTCAGCGCCAATAGAAACACCCGCCACATGCAAAAAGCGAAATGCTGTTATGTTGTGGGTCGAATAGGATAGATGGGGTTGTTTGGGGCGCAGTCACAGAACTGCTTCAGTTTCATTCCCCAGCTTCGCATACTTGCACGCGCCGACTGAAAGCAAAGCTCGCTTGGGGAGCAACACTTGAGCCACGACCCCTCTCGCACCTACATTCATGCTCACAGCCTGCCTTCTTTGCACTCGTACTCCCTCACGCATACACACGCATAGACAGCATAGCCGTTTCCGGCTGGTCTCTGAACATACCACATAATTTCATTGCATGCTTTTGTGCGCCGACAAAAATTCCAACTTTTTAGCGGTCTTTTTTTTTTTCGTTCATTCGTTTAAATTTTGCGGCTGGGCGAGGCATTAGGTATGAAGCTTCAGTTAGTTTAGCGACATGGCTCGTTTATAGCTGGTTGTTTCTGTGTAGCTTGTCAACGCTTGCCTTGCTAAACACGTAGCGCCTGCGGCCGCTGTCAAAGCAGCTTCTCTTTGGGTGTGGCCAGTGCGCGCCTCCTGTGCATTCAACTGAAATTCATGAACACCCAGCCCCGGCACCCACCTTCGCAGGAAACTATAAGCCAGCCTGTGGCATTTGCAATCTGTCGTCTGACGCACACAGTTTGGGTATATGCGGCGTTGCGTTATGCCTTGACAGATGAGTTTCTGTACATTTTAAATAAATGCTGACAGTTAAATGAAAATACTTTATGTACGTGCCAATTTTTTGGACACTGACATTTAGCACGTCCTGTCCCATGTCCTTTCGCCACCGGCTCATTGTTGACATTGCACTTCATTTTGCTGTCTGGCTTGTTAGTCCCCTTAGTTGTTGTTTTTGTTGTCTTTTGAATTGGGCATGCGAAGCGCGTTTCGCATTCGCCTCGCAATCCTTAGCATAAGCGTAACGACAAGTGGACGCCAGCGTCTTACTGTAAGCCAGAAGCAATTGTCCTTCAGAGCTCTCTGCACGATATGGCTGTCTGCTCTCTCAGTTGGTCTAGTTGCCTGCGCTCAGAGTAAAGCTTTTTATTAGCACGCTGCTAAGTGGATTTAAGCTTGAAATGTGATTTATTGCCTCATCTTTAGGCTGTCTAGTAAAGTTAAGCAGGACAGCTGTGGTATATGTGTTTTTAATTCTACTTTGATCTCAGCTTTTATCAAATATTTTCAGTCGAGTCATGTTATGAGTCAAGTCATATAGTCACGCGACTTATATCATTAGCCGATTCATATCACAAGTCGAGTCAAGTTATTTGATGAGTCCAGTATGCCATCAGTAGAATCATGGGTCGAATCGGAATATGGCTCGTGTTATGACTCAAACCATGTTGTGAGTGGAGTCATATCATGTGTCGAGATGAGTTTAGTATGTCATTAATAGAATCATATGAGTCGCATCAGGATACGGCTCGTCAAATATATCACGAATCGAGTCATATCATGTGTCGAATCAGTTCATTTTTTGAGTCGAGTCGTCATATCATGAGCCTTGAAACGAATCATATGACTCGAGCTATAATATGGTTGGAGTCACATCATGGGTCATCAATTGAATCCTATTATGAATCGAATCATATCTTGAGTCGAGTCACATAACCAGTCGAGCCACATCCTCTGTCGAGTCTCTTCTTGTTGAGAACATGAACTTGCTCCACAGTGATTAAATTATAACTGTAAACCAACCCCACAGCAGGCCCCCAACTCGTAAAATCCACCCAAACGCATATTTGTTGTAGTCTTTTGGGTCATTCATCATTGGGCTTAGACAAACAAATCCCCTAGACCAACAGAAATATTAAATGTTTACTTTTCATATTCGTAATTTTGTGTTTTATTTTATTTTGTTTTTGTTTTTCTTTATTTTTATTTTTCTTTTGTTGCTTTTTTTTTCTTTTTTATGTTCAGCATTTAGGTGTTTGTTTTATTTTATTTTTCAGTTTTTGTTTTTTTCTATTTTGTTCCGAAATGTCTTTATGTTTATCTTGAAGCTAAAATTCTACACAACAATTAGCATTTTGTTATTGCAACGCACGAATTGTGAAAAAATATATCTAAACAAGGGCATACAAATGGGCTGAAATATTTTATACTATTGAAATACATGCACTTAAATTTGTTGCGTTGTGTTCAGTTGTTTAGTTACTAGCTTGGGTTTGCTTTTCTATGCTTTGCTTTTCTTTGTTTTACATCTCTCTCTCTTTCTCTCTCTCTCTCTCTTACTTCTTTCTAATTACTCTCGCATTTGAAGGATTCTCTTTCGCTTTTATTTTTCTTTTGTTTTGCTTCTTGAACTAGTCTAGTCTAGGGTATCAACTAGGGCGTTTCCATACTATTGCCGTCTCTTTCACGCCTTTATACAAAATATACTTGTACACATTATAATTTAGTTTGGTTTACGGTTTCACTCTCGGAATTCCACTTGGTAAATTCTCAATGCTCTAACTTGAGAGACAGCATGCCTAAGTTTTTACACAAAATGGAGTTCAGAAAGTTCCCTTGGAATTTGACTAAGAAAAAAAAACTGATAAAAAAAAAAAAAAACAATAATAATATCCACTCGACCGTAGGTCACAGAGCAGAGGTACAAATTATTAACGAAGAATTTTGCATAGGTGGCAAAGGAGCCTTCAAATTAGTAAGATGGGGACTGACTGTTCGCAGTCACGCCTAATCGCGCAGTGCCCTCTGTTTGGCATGCTTCTTCTGGCTGCCGCTGCCGATGACTGTGGTAGCAGCCACAGCTGGCGGCAGGTGGCGCGACTTCTTGTGCAGCCGCTTGTGATAGCTCTGGGCGAGTGAGTTGACAATGGAGACGACAAAATAGCACACCATGCCAATGACAAAGGTCTCAAACACTTTGGACAAGAGATTCGCGGAATCAGCGCTATTGCCGACGCTGCCGCCGGCTGTGTTATTGCGGCTACGTTGCTGCCTGTGCAAGCGCTGCTTCTGATTCTCGAGGAACGCCTTGAAGGGCTGTTGCAGCTTGCGCCCAAATATCGGCACCGTGGCAATCAGATCGACAGCGCGTTCGATGAGCGTCTCATTAAAAGCAATAATCACAAATATCTTCTGTATATGCATCTTGATGATGGCCTTGCCAATCAGCGTGGCCCCGAAGAACGTCCAGAATGGCACCAGAAAGTGGCCGCACGTGATCCCAGCCAAATCGAACAGCGGATTGGGAATCTATGAAATTGCACATAATTTGAATAATATCGAAAATAGCTGGAATCATGTTGGACATACGCTTGCACAGGCCAATATACCAAAGAAACCAACGCGCTCGACGACGCGCTCCATGAACAGTTTGCCCCTGTCCATGAGACTGAGGTTCTTCTGATTCCGTTTCGCATTTAACGCCTCGAATTCGGCCAGCTCCTCAGCATCGTCCGGATCATAGCCGGACAAGCGTGCTGCCTTGGCCATAAAGTAGGGCGGCAGCTCACCCAATGCTGTCCCGGCGCCCCAAAGGAACGCCTCCAGACGCACCTTGGACATGATGCTCCAAATATTGGGCATCTTCTTTAAATATGGCTCCTCCGGACAAACGATGCTGCAAAGATTCCAAATATATTGAGATGAGCCAGCGTACAAATGTGAATTCAATATTAATTCGCGAAACTAAAATACCTTTTCTTTACTTCGGAAAACTTAAAATGAAAACTATTTTGTATAGATACAATTAAGGAGTGTTCGACTAGCGCGCAAGCTTTAGTCTACGCTGAGATGCTGCTATATATATTAATATAATACATATGTGAAGAATACATGCATATATGTATTTGCATAGCCTAGTCACAAGGATTATCTCTGTTTGTATATTTAGGATTTGCATACCTGTTTGTTATCTAAGGCAGTTAATATTACTTTGAACTTATATCATTATATATATGAATACATTTAAGAGTAATTCCAATAGTAAGTCTATTTTGATTATATAGATATACATAACTACTTACTCGTCCGGATATGGTGGCTGCGGGAATTCGAGTGAGTTACATTCGTAGCCAGCCAATGTGACACTGGCTATGTGGGGGCCCAAATAGAGTAGAAAAGTGTGCAGGCCGGTGCCCAGGCCCACAGACGAGAGAACGCCCAGTCCGACCCAGTATACAAAGAACCAGGTGTTGCGATGCACCAGCTCAATGATCTGCTGATGCGGGCCATCGATTTTATAAATTACGCTAAATACAAGCCCTAATACTATTAAAACAGCCAGCAGTCCACGTTGTCGCAGCAAACTGAAATCGATGTTGGTGTGCATTAGTTGAAATTTGTTTTCGTTTGGATATACATAATTCGATCAATTGGGAGACTCACCTGCTGCCCCAAGAGCACAGCAGTTCAATCAGTTCAAGTGCACAATATTTGGACGTCTGCAGTGGGCGACGCCAGAGGACGAGCTGAGAGCGTTCCAAGCGCTCTTTCTCCTTCTGCTGCTTATCCTTTTTGCTTTGCTGAGTTTTGCTGCCGTTGCCCCCATTGTTTGGCTTTGTGTGTGCTTGCATTTTGACAGCAGTATTGATGCTGCTGCTGCTGCTGCTGCCACTGCTGCTGCCGGTGCTGCTACTTGTAAATGAGGTGTTGCTGTTGGAGCTACTGCTGCTGTTGCCTTTGGCGCTGCCATTGGGCGTCTGCTGTTTCTTTTGACTCTTGCTGTTCTCGTCCTGTTTGCGCTGGCGTGTGTTACTCGCATGGCTCGCTGACTCCTTTTTGTTGTGTTGTGACATTGAATCAACTTTTTGTGTCCTTGGCCAGCTCCTAAGCGATACAAAGTAAATGGAAAAAGTAAAAAATAAATAAAACAATCGGGCAATAAGTAAATGCTTAGCAACAAAGTTTAATGGCTTTAAAATGCGGCAGTTGCGCTTTAAGTGTTGCCAGACTGTTGCATTTGTTTTTATCCAGTCGTTGCCACATTTCTAGCTAGGCTGATCAGTGATTTCAAACGTGCGTGACAGACAAACTTTACATGATTAACCAGCTCAGTTTTCACGTTTTACTCTTATTATGTTAAAATTGAATTAAATGTTTTAAAAAGCTTCTCTAATTTGTTCACCTTTATTTCAATACAACGACTAGATCGGCTATTATTTTACCGACTGTTGCTAGATTTATCTGGTACAACTTTTTATATTAGTTGGCAACGCAGAAACTATAAATACGCATGTGTGTGTGTGCGCGGGAAAAGCACAACAACAGTAGATTATCATACGATACTTGAGCACCAATAAAACGAATCCACATAGCCCGCTACAAAATGGAACACACACACACCTAAACACACGTATACTCTGAATGTGTGTTTGGGTTCTTTAAAGCAGAACAACAACGAAAACAAGAACCAGCAAGCATGCTGATCGCTAGCAAAGAGTGGACATTAACACACTTATTTTCGCTCTTCATTATGTGACACGCATACACGCATCTCAAAACACGCATGTACACGTACACGTATTTATTTGTCTGTATACAATCAAAGGGTCGTCGTGCACGATTACTTCTTAATCAGCTGTTTGTCTGGGTTTTGTTGTTGCTGTCTGCCTAAATACACACACACATACACACACATGCACCCAAAGGTGCACACATACATATATTTGGTTCTTTAATGTAATGTGGGCAAAAAGTTTGCTTCGCTCGTAAGACCCACAACTGCATAAGTCAGCACGGTTGCATTTGTGCCGTTAGTCGCTGTTGTTCATTTTATATTTTTTGGGGTGGCAAATGGCGTAGAGACGTCGAAACCAATATGCCAATACTAAAATGAACAACAACAACAGGAGCGAAGTCAGGGCAACGGCAACAAAGAATAAATGCGTCACAGAAACAAAGCACTAAACAAAAATCAATTGCATTCGCTGCAATTCTTTGCCATGATAACAACAAAGACATTGACAGCAATAATTATAATACAACTTCATGCATCGGTTATATTGCACTATTTTTTATGAGTTGCGGTTGACAACAGCAGCATTAACAACCATTACAAACACTAATAACACAGGGGGAAAAAAAAGTTTATTAAGCACTTCTTCACTGCGGCCGCTGCGGCGCCTGTTTTGTAATAAGCCGTCGCTTTGTAAACTGACAAAACATCGTTATAAGTTCCACATATTTACCTGATTTCTGTGTAGATGTTCGAATTGTGGGTACGGAACCGAATGTTACTTGGTCAGTGACTTTTTTGAAGTGGAGTATTGTATTTGTCGGACATTACAACAATAACTTAATTTTGAATAATTGTGCAAAGCCTACCTACGCCTGCATAAAAAAACACACGTCTAAACTTCGGTTAAACAACAGACTCTGTTAATGTTGAACTCAGAATGGTTATGTTATTGCCAAAAACATCTGTTAAAGCAGTGCTGTTAGCTAAAATAACATTTCAGCTAAAAATTCAAAGAGCAGGGCTGGAAACACAAATCGGCTCAGGGCTACAATCAATCAAATCAAATTTCGCAGAATAAATCAGAAATATAGAAAGCAAAATTCAAGTACGCAGTATATTTGACCTTAACGGTCATTGTTCTTTCCCACCACACGCCTGGCCGATAAAGACAAAATAACAGCTGATGCAACTGTCAAGGCCATGACGTGTTCAAAAACAATTAGGATGTTTGTTTTTTGTTTTAATATATTTTTATTTATTTAATTAATAGTAGATTAATTACTGTACGCTTAACCAAGAGAGTCCTATTCGTAACCATACACACTAAATATGCACAAAATTTTGTTGTATTATTATTACAGGAAAGAACAAAGGAGCAAAAATATATATATATATAGAAAAGATAAAGGTAGGTAAACGTAAGGGAAGTTAAAGTACCTTACAAAAACATACAAATTGCAGGGTACTCAATATAAAGGCAAAACTCAATGAAATAGTGCCAAGTGAATAAATTGTTAAAGCATAGGTAAATTTGAAATACTAGCGCGTATAGAAAATGTTTATATAAAATAATTTTCACATAACATTTGTCGTTTTCCTCTTACAATTCATTTTTTTCTTGTTTTTTGAAGATCATTTTAATATTTTTTTGTTGTTTATTTGTTTTTAAGTTTTTGTTTCTTTGTTTTATTTAAGTTTTCGTTTTGTTTTTCTTGCATTCAATTTGTTTACCGCCTTAGACCCGCACAATACGTTTAGCTATCGTTCCATTTTTTTGTGTGATTTTTTGCATTTTTTTTTTTTTTCAACTGGATGCTAAACGTAAAATATATATTATATATACATATATATGTATGTTTATATATATATGTATATATACATGTTTTATATAGAATTTCTGTATAGGTTGTTGCCTGCCACTATAAAGAATGCAGTCCTTGTCTACTTCTCCATGCCATAGACGTTCTCATCGGAGTAAGCTATGTACAGGAAATAATCCTCCTCATGATGCTCCTGCAGCCCGAAGAAATGAAACACAAGAGATGAGAGAGAGAAATAGAGATTAGGTAATGATGTGAACTGGAGACAAATTGTCTAGTTTACCTGGTACAGTGAGCCCATTGTTGCTGATGTTGGGGGAATGACGTTATTGACGAAGAAAAAAAGTGCATCCTCGGGACGCAGGTGAATGCGCTTGCGTATAAGGAAATAGAATTGCCCAACGGTCAAATCGGATGGCACCAGATACTTCTTTTTGTCCAAATCTCCAATACGCGCCTTTGGTGCCTTCTCAACAATCACCTGCAAAACAAAATTAAACGAAATTAGAATCCATGATATACAAGATTTTTTACTGTGTAAACTGATCTACTAGAGAGTACCCTGTGCAAAAAATAAGAGAGCTCTGCGAGAAGATGAGAAGAATTGTCTCTCTTTAGTCAATTAGCAGCGGCTGTTAGTCTTGGCAGGAGCTTGAAACAGTTACAGTTACGAAAACAAAATAAACTGCGTCTTCAAGAACGTGAATACGTGACGACATACCGATAAATCAAGCAACACGTATCAATATAAATATACAGATATACTTGTATGCATGTGTGTGTGTGTTTTCGCTGTGTGCACTCATCAACAATTATTTACTAACGGTAATTGCATTTTTTTGTGTAACAAGGCGAACACAAAGGCAACAAAAATGCAACAATTTGGCATTAGCGAATGTTACGAATATGTATGTATTATGTATTTTAACATTGCTGTTAATTTCAGCTTAGCCAAATTAACGAAAGAAGCTGCCCTGGGGTCATGTCACTGCCCGTGTTCAAGGTGAAGGTGGCCCAACTAACTACATACATAGTATATTTCTATTCTATTTACGTATATATCATATGTATTAATGTATGTGCATATGTATGTATGCACGTATAGGTATGTATATAATTATACACCAACCAGCTGGCCTTGCCTGCATTTGGTTTGTCGTCAGATGTTATTAAGCAATTTGTGTTGTGTTGCTTGCCAAAATACTAAGGCAAGCAAAGCACCTAAAGCTGTTGAATAATATTAAAATGGAAAACAAAAATAAAGGAAAAGAAATAAGCAATAAATTGTAAACGACGCGTGTGAGGGCGAAAGGAGAACAGAGAGCCCCTGAAATGTGGATGAGGGAGCCGAACTGTATGATAATACAAGGCGGAGGGATAAAGCGAGTGAGAGAGTAAAAGCTTTCAGAAAGTTGAGTATGTGTTTACTCTAACAAAAAGAATTGCATATGGTGAAATAGACAAACAAACAAAGAGAGCAAATCGCTATGACTAATTATGGACTCAATGCAAGCAGAAAAACAAAACAACAAATTTTGAAATTAGCCAAGTTCTAGAAAACAGCGTCTGTGTGTCTTTACTTCTGTTTTTGATTTTTTTGTTCTTTTGTTTATGCGCAGTTTTAAAGCTGTCTGGTCTGATTTTTTGCAAGTTAACAAACAAAAACAAAAATACACTTTTATGTGAAATCAAAAACACGATAGGCTCGTTGGCCGTGTGCTTTGACACAGGGGCTGACGCTGTTTATTTGTGTGTGTGAGTATTTGTGTTTGTGTGGGTAGGGTGAAGGGGGAATCGAAAAAAAAAACCAGCCAACTGAAAAACATCACAACAGCTGAGCAAGCGAGTCAACTAGCAGCTCGTTCTCCCGCACATACACATACACATACATACACACACACATACACGGCCTGTGAACAAAGCGTTTGTGTGTGTACGTTTGCACATGAATTTGTTTGATTTTCACTTGAGATTTGGCAAGTGTCGACTATGACAAGTGAATTCATTTTTATGCAGTATATACGGAAAAACTATTGTTGCTCGCAAAACGCACAGAAATGGGTATAAAAATAATAACAATTACTTCTACGGACGATATGCGCATTATTGATTTTCCCTGCTGAGAGTATGCGTGTGTGTGCAGCAATAACAACACACAATCAAATAGAACGACGCAAAACAATACATACAAGCAAAGAGCTCGCACATACATACATATATATATACACACACACATAACATACAATGAACACACACATATTTAGAACTAAATAAAAAAAATATAGATATTTTGTACTTACGGGCACACGGTCTGGATATTTGCGTCTAATCTTGTCGCCTTCGGCGCGACGCTTCTCAAATGCATGCTCCTCTTTATATTGGAACTTCATGATTGTACTTGTTAAAAAATTGTATAAGAAACGCAGTTTTCACTTTACTCTTTACACTAACAACAAAAAATCTAGCAGTCGCTCTCGTTTGTCGTTCACTTATGTTGGCTGCGCACTTCAGTATGACCAATCTAAATGTAATCAAGAAGGCCAAAAATGATTCAAATGCTAAATTTAACGTTCAGTGTGGCTGTAGATTTTTAATGTCAAATTACTGTGCAAATACTAACAAAATACTAAAATATTTCTTGTGAAGTGTCATTCACCAAAATATTAAACAGTGCGTCAAATCAGTGAAGAAAATCAACAATCGGTCCGGAAATCGATAAGTTTTACACATCTCGAACATTTGTTCTTTTCCTCCGTGGTTTTCGACTAGTAAGATGGCTCCTACTGTAAGTGCTCGCGAAAATCTTAAAAACGTTGCGCCATCATAAGTAATTTAAAGTAAATAAGTATATAATGTTAATGCCAAAGATGTGTTTTGTGCACACGCAATAATATTTCTCTATTAACACTTATGATGGTGTAAATAAACTTCTGAACTTATGTAAAATGTATAATACAAATAATATATGCATGTCTACAGGCCAAGACCAACAAGGGTGATACCAAGGCTGCCAAGCCGGCTGAGAAGAAGGCTGCTCCAGCCGCAGCCAAGGGCAAGGTTGAGAAACCAAAAGCCACTGAGGCTGCCAAGCCAGCGGCGGCTGCTGCTAAGAACGTAAAGAAGGCGCCGGAAGCCGCTAAGGACGTGAAAGCGGCCGCAGCAGCTAAGCCCGCTGCCGCTGCTAAGCCAGCCGCTGCCAAGCCCGCTCCTGCTAAGGATGCCGCCAAGAAGGCGCCAGCTCCCGCTGCTGCTGCGCCCAAGAAGGACGCCAAGGCGGCGCCCGCTGCTACCAAGAAGGCAGCCGCCGCCCCAGCATCTGCGCCACCAGCGAAGAAGGCAGCTCCTGCTGTCGCAAAGGCTGCCCCAGCAGCAGCTCCTGCTGCGGCCGCCCCAGCTGTGGCCGCTGCAGCCAAGCCCGTTGCTAAGCCGGCTGCTGCCAAGCCCAAGCCTAAGGCTGCCACACCCGCAGCCCCCAGCAAGGTTGTCAAGAAGAGCGTGCTGCGCGGTAAGGGCCAGAAGAAGAAGAAGGTCTCGCTGCGTTTCACCATCGACTGCACCAACATTGCCGAGGATCACATCATGGATGTGGCCGATTTCGTAAGTACCCCTCTCGTCGACGTGATAAACTCCAACTACCCAATCACCATGGAGCTGGTGAACATGATCTCATTTGACAATTGGCAACGCAGCGACGCCTGTCATACCATACCAAGCTTTCCATTGCCGCTAATTGCCCGAGGCACTGGATAAAAAGTGTGGTTATAGTAAACTATTCCACTAGCGATTAAACTGCAGTTGGCCCTGAATGCCAACTACGGTTAACAACTTCTGGAACACTTCGTATTTGAATCTTCTAATTGATAATTCACTTATCAATGATCGATGATCTCCAGAATGGCTTTTGTTATTCATTTCTTCACTTGTTAAAACCTTTTCTGACAAAGGGGCTCTGGACACTGCACAACGGGGTAGCCACTGATCGCCAGTACCGGGTCTGGCCAGTTGGTGCAACCGTCTGTGAACAGCGTCAAGTCGTGCTATGTGTACCGCCACGTGGTGGGCCCTGGGTTGTACGTGCCACATCCGTGTTACGTCGAGCCGAAATTCATAGTGCGCCCTGCTAATGGCGTGCGCAACAAACTGACTGTGAATTATCCGATTCCAAAAGTTTGTTTTCTGCCACGCTGCAGGTTTCTCCACGAAGCAAAAATCATATAGAAATGTTTAAAGCCAATTCTGAGGGAGAAACCTCCTCACATTTAAGTTAAGGCTCGCTGGCCTTTTCCCAATTTAGCAGGGTGCAAAGCCAAAGTCAAGCAGCGCCCATTCGGAACAGGTAATACAGAGTTAGCTAATGCTCCAATAATAATATAAGATCTATATATACATATATATGTACAGCTGCAGTGAAAAAATAGTAAAAATTGTGTTGAATACTTAAAATAACTTAGATATCATTTACCTTTTTATTATCCAATTATTTGAGCTCATTTAAACGACTATTTTTTATGACCGCAGCAGTATATATATATGTATATATCTATATTCCTTCATGATATATTTAGGCCACGCCGATTTGCCGTCAGAGAGTGAAATCCCTTGGGAGAGTCGCTCTGATGGCAGTGTACTCAGTGGCATATTAAAAAATTGGTCACTCTTCTTTATTTGGGTCTTTTGCTCGCATTCCATTGACTTTTGGCCTTAACAAAGAAAGAGACAGCACTAATATGCGTATGCATCTATTGCTTTCACACATGTGCTTGTGCCACTGTTCTAATCGATGTTGACTTTCGTTTGGGTTCCCGCAGGAGAAGTACGTGAAGGCGCGCCTCAAGGTGAACGGCAAGGTGAACAACCTGGGCAACAATGTCACCTTCGAGCGGTCCAAGATGAAGCTCCATGTTAGCTCCGATGTGCACTTCTCCAAGGCCTACCTCAAGTACTTGACCAAGAAGTACCTGAAGAAGAACAGCCTGCGGGATTGGATCCGTGTGGTTGCCAACGATAAGGACTCGTACGAGCTGCGCTACTTCAGAATCAGCTCCAACGATGATGAGGATGATGACGCGGAGTAAAGATAATGATGATGATTAAACAACAAACAACAAAAACCATCAAATTTTTTACAAGCACTGTTTTTAAAAGCTGGAAAAGCAATTGTGGTTTACCCAATTAACTAAAAAAGGAAAATAAAGTTGTGTAAACTTTAATCCAATCGTTTTATCTTTTATTATTTGTTTTCATGTTCGGTAGTCCTAGACTTCGATTAGTTAATTAGTAACACTCATTAAGCTATTCAGACTGAGTAGAATTATTTTATGTTATCTCCATAAAAGTTGCGGAACTTCAAGGCAGTCTTCGAATGACTCATATGGGTAATACAGTAGAATCCGCTTATAATGTTGTTATATCCAGAAGACGCTATAACCGTGTAAGCTTCCTCTTATAAGTTTGTCTAGGTACCAGAACGGGCGCCATAAGCGGTCGTTATAATTAGATTCTACTGCATCTATTCTCGATCAGCATCCATAACTCTATGTAAATGGGCCTTAACGTATCCTCTGCGCATGATAGCCCGGGCCCGGTCCCAGAACAGTTGGGCTGAAAAATATTTGCTCTAAAGCTTCATTTTATTAATATTTAAATCCTTACTTCATACTTCATCAGGAACCTCTGTTTGTACTCGTTCACGGGGTGGAAGCGGATGTTTTTGGCTTTCTGCCAGTTTCCGTCCGTATGAACGCGAATCAAATGCATATAGAAACATATAGTCGTTGGCAGCCTCATCTTATAAGGGGTTAAGAGTTTTTCCCTATGTAAATTAGAGGCTTGGCAAATCGGTAAATACTAGTTTTGATAACTACATAGGATGACAAAAGAGAAACTTGGATGGATAAAAAAGTATATACATATATACATATGTATATCACATATACGTTAATCAGATCCCGCGTGAGCAAGATCACGAACCCTACAATACATAGACTGAACAAGTGGTATGGCTAGTGGTAAGATCCTCTAAGCATCATTGACTACATCCGTACACTGCGGGTGTGAATTTATATTCACAAATATATGTATACAGGAGTACTATGAATATGAATGCAATTGTATGAGTATAAATATTGATCAAAATCTGGAAATTGATATCATCATTAGTTACAGGTAAATTCGAGTAGCTTTACCTAGGATCTGGTTGGTTTCACTGAAGTAATATAATATGTACGAACCGAAAATACATACATATGTGTTTATATATATAATGCATATGTTTCTACATTTCATTTTCCACAGAGACACATTCGAAATATGGGAAACTGTCATAATTGTGTAATTACGTTAATGGAGCCAAACAGATTCTAAGTATTTCAAGTCGCAATTACCTGGAAATGAAAAATGATGAAGCACCTAACAGGTGGGTTTGCGTGAATGATTGCATGGGTGGGCAGACTTTTAATTACTAATCGAGTGAAAGTTGTGCAAACTAAAGGCAGATATTTAAAGAGAGAGAAAGAGATAGAGACAGAGAGATCGCGAGAGAAAGAGAGAGCGTTGATTGATAAATCATTGGGTGAAGAAAAAGACCAGCTGGAACCTTGGAGTGCGGCGTGTTGTTAAAGCTTTTTATTGTATCAATTAATCAGAACAACGAAAACTTTTTTACCAATAACAAGAGACATTCATCGTAGGTACATTAAAAAACATAAAAATAAACAGAACAAGGGGTACATTAAATAGTGTGTGTGTGTGTGATTAAAAGCAGCTAGCTAATAGTGCTAACTACATAATAATTAGTTAGAGATTATATAGGAAATACTGTTACGAGGGGTGCGGAGTTAGATCAACATTCGTTTTGTTGTATAAGTAATAACAGTTTTAAGGAGATTCATAGATTCATTCGATCGGAATAACTGCCTCATCAACATCATCATCGTCATCGTCGTCATCTTCATAATAATCTTCTTGGTCAGCATCACATTTGAAGGCCGTCAGGCAGGGTTATCTATAGATAACAAGTTACGAATACTATACGAACAAATACTAGTTAACAATGCATAATAATTGAATACAAAAATACGCTGCTATAAAGCGAGCCATCTCTCTCTATATATATATGTGTGTAATTGGGTGTGGGCGTGGCCGTGGGCTAAATAGGTGCAAAAGCGGACTATTGGAAACATTTGCAGCTAATTCAATTATAATTTGCAGCCTTAGCCAAGTGGAGCAGGAGCCCACCAAGCAGGCCAATAGACATGGCAAAGCTGGAGACTTGCAACTGAGCTCCACCGTTGGTGTTGGAGCGCACGGCTGCCTGGTCGGGTGGCAGCATTGCCGGCGGCGGCTGATTGGTGGCCATTGGTGCCAGCGGCACGGGTTCAGCGCCGGGCGCAGCGGCTGGTGGCGGCGGTGCCGGATAGCAGGCGATTTTCTCGACCTCGATCATCTTGCTGCTGTCTGTCGGATCCGTTTCGTTGATTTTGGTGGGCACACAAATGATGCCGCCCGGTGCCGGCGGTTGTTGCGCTGCGTCAGTGCCATTGGCCATGGGTGCCATAGGTGCCATGGGCGCCATTGGCGGCGCGGACTGTCCATCGGTGGCGTTCATTGGGGCTGCCGGTGCGCCCGCTGCATTGATGACAGTGGTGCCATCGCTGGCATTCACAGGCACGCCATTGTTAATGATTATGATGCGGTCCTGGCCAGCAGCAGCGGCTGGTGCAGCCGCCGGTTGCGAGGAGCTGCCACCAGATGGGGTCAACGCGTGGCCAAGCAGGGCGCCGCCCAAGCCACCAGCCAGAAGACCAGTGCCTGAAACAGTGGATTATGAATCATTCTTACTGTGGATTCACTCGATGCACTTACCGAAGCCCAAGCCAGAGGAAGATTGCTGCGGTGGCTGCGATAACAAAACGGCGCCTGGTGGTAGAGCTGAGCCAGGCTGCACGTATACAGCGCCTGGTGGTGCACCGGCAGCCTGATGATAGCCGCCAGCGGGGTAGCCACCACTTGCTCCATTCATATAGCCGCCATGAGCCGGATAGCCGGCATGAGCTGGATAGCCACCCGCAGCTGGATAACCACCAGCAGCCGGATAGCTGCCAGCAGCCGGATAGCCACCAGCCGCCGGATAGCCACCAGCAGCTGGATAGCCACCAGCAGCTGAATAGCTAGGAGGTGCTCCTGCATGCTGCTGACCATAATTGTTGGGAGTTATGGGCTGATGCACATTGGAGTGTGCACCTCCAGCCGGTGGTCCTTGCGGCACATTCCAGCCAGGCGCAGGCGGTTGGGCATTGGGTGGACGATTCGGTTGAGAATTGTAATTGGAATAGCTCAGTTTAGCGGCGTCTGCGTGCGAGTTGCCACCATTGTTACTGGGATTGCTGTATGATTGGGTCACATGGCCCGAATTGCTGCTGCTGGATGACGTTTTCCGTTGATTGCTGCCTTGGTTACGGCGGGCATCCACAACATCGAAGCCATGCGTCAGCAGCAAAGCAAATAAGGCTACGGCGACTATTGCGCACTTGGAAGCAAAAGCCATCGTTTAACGATTTCTTTTCTTTTTTATATACTATATATATATATATAGTATATATGCTATATATTAGCTGGCAATGCTGGCAACGACAATAACATGTAAATTGGGCAAAATATTAGTATATTAGCTTGCAGGGACAGTCAATCATGCGATCAAATACGAAACGTTAACAATAAAATTCAATATATGTGCATGTTAATTACCAAAACTTGTTTTGCCTGCTCAGTAACGGCTATTGTTGTTCTTGTTGTTGTTGCTGTTTTTTGCTTAACGTTTATTTACACTCAACGATTCCGCGATTTTCACCAGCGCTTCGAGCGTCAAACGAGGTTTACAAATGATGCGAAACTCAACTTGAATAGCGAATCAACAGCGTTATTCAATTTATCGATTCGATACTATGCATTCGCAGTCGGCGTTGCCAGCCGTCGGCAAGAAACTGCGCCAATTATCCGATAGTGCCAGCTGTTTCGATGCACTTTTAACGTGCGAGGCAATTCAAATTGATTTATTTGTAAGCACCTGTTGCTAATATTTAATTAGTGAATGAAAACAATAGTATATTATATTCAAACATAAGTTACGTTATAAATAACACTTTGGCAAAAAAGTGCATTCAAATTCATATATTTCATAATTGATTGCACCATCAATTGATGATAATTGAAGAAATTTATTCAACAACATTTTTGACTTGATTGCATTTTCCGAGTTAGTCGTACGATTTCATATTTAAAATCTTAGTATAGTGCTTTTGGTGCATCTACCGCTAACGTATTGTTATTGTCCCCTGTGGGTGGCAACGTCCGCCCCTTGCGTCATCGATAACATACCGATAATAAACAGACTACAAGCCGATATATCAACAATCCAGCCGGCAACGGCAATAACTTCACATATATTTTTACAATAATTCATATTAAGCCGGAAGTTCATACATTTATAAACGGTTGCGATCAAAAGGCGATTTTTAGTTAATTGTAACTAATTTAATTTAGGCGATAGCGTGCGCAGATCCGGCGCTGAGGGAGAGTAAACGTGGGGGGGTACGTGGCACTGGAGATGATGTTCTGAATAGCTGACAATAAACAATAATTAGTCAATTATAATAATTACGACGTGTAGCATTTGCAGCTATGAGTGCCACGCTACGTTACCGCGGCGATAAAAGCAATTTGTTAGAGTTTGCCAAGAACTTGGATGCCTTCAAAAAGGTGCCGGAGAAATATACGGAGACCACAGAGATTGGGGGCACACGTGAGCAAAATGCATTGATTCCCTCACTCTTGTCAGTCGATTATACTAATAATTATTATTAAATTCTTTACAGTCTCGCTGCTAAGCCGGCTGCTCATTGTGTATCTGGTTTACACGGAGCTGCGCTATTATTGGAATGAGACGGATATTATTTACCAATTTGAGCCAGACATTTCGCTGGATGAGCAGGTGCAGATGCATGTGGATATTACGGTAGCCATGCCGTGCGCCTCGCTTTCTGGCGTCGATCTGATGGACGAGACGCAGCTGGATGTCTTTGCGTACGGCACGCTGCAGCGCGAGGGCGTCTGGTGGCAAATGTCGGACGCGGATCGCCGTCACTTTCAGTCCATGCAGATGACCAATCATTATTTGCGCGAGGAATATCACTCTGTGGCTGATATACTCTTTAAGGACATACTACGCGAACGGTCGCTGCCCAAGGAGAGCGAAGCACAGTCAGACGCTGCGGCACCGCCGCCGCCGGGTGCACTGCAGCAGCTGCAGCAAATTTCTCAGCTGGAGTCCAAGTATGATGCATGCCGGCTGCACGGCACATTGGGCATCAATAAAGTGGCCGGCGTCCTCCATTTAGTGGGCGGTGCGCAGCCGGTCGTTGGCATGTTCGAGGATCACTGGATGATCGAGTTTCGCCGCATGCCAGCAAACTTTACGCATCGCATCAATCGCTTGAGCTTCGGCCAATATTCGCGTCGCATCGTCCAGCCGCTGGAGGGTGACGAGACGATCATACGGGAGGAGGCCACCACGGTACAGTATTTCATCAAGGTGGTGCCGACGGAGATACGGCATACGTTTAGCACCATCAGCACATTCCAATATGCTGTCACCGAGAACGTACGCAAGCTAGGCAAGTGCTGATGCAGTGCATCCCCATGTTCTTCCATCAACTCCATAACTCCATTTACCATTTACAGATGCGGAGCGCAATTCGTACGGCTCGCCGGGCATTTACTTCAAGTACGATTGGTCTGCCTTGAAAATTGTGGTCAGCCACGATCGTGACAATTTGGTGACATTTGTCATACGGCTCTGCTCCATTATATCGGGCATTATAGTCATCTCTGGCGCTGTCAATGCGCTGCTGGTGGCCATCCAGCGGCGACTGCTGCGCACGTTTGCGCCGCAGCTCTATCAGCGCTTACCGGGCGCCACTCCGCCCCCGCCAGCCCCACCGGCGCCAATCAGCAGCGTGCCAATGCCCGCCAACGACCTGCTCAACACGGCCAACCTGATGGCCAATGTGGATATATCCGCCTATCTGCCAACAGCCATGGCGGCCAACAAGTCAGACATCTAGCCGGGCCACACTCGCCCCACTCGCAATCTCCGTTCAAAGCACTCTCAATGAATTCACTCTCTTCTACTAGAATGCCACAAATTTATTGTCTCATAAGATTAAGCAGCAAAAGTGAATTTTACAATTGTACATACTATATATTACTATTAAAAGAAGAACACGCACATACATATATATTTCATAATATATATCGATATATGCGTGTATATGTGTAAATCGTGGTTTACTGCTCGTGCCCCAATATGCCCGTGTCCAGGTTGCTGTAGTGCCGCGCACCCGACCGCCTGTAGCCGAACATGCTCTTCAGTATCTCGAGGGCCGAGTCCACTGTGGTGCGCACATCCTGCGGTGTGCCCAGTTTCGGATTGATCTCCACAATATCCATGCCCTGGACACGCTTGGTGTCGCGCAGCGCCTCCACAATGCTGATGCCCTCGCGCAGCGTTAGCCCGGCCCGGACGGCGGTGCCCGTGCACGGCGCCACATTGCTGTCCAGCGCATCGATGTCGAAGCTCACGTGGATCTTGTTCTGTGTGTCGAGGGCGTCCAGCGTCATCTCAATGACCTTGGGCACGCCCATGCGATCGATCGACTGTTGTCAGAAAAGAAATTCATGCATAATTATCATTTTATTTATATTATGTATGGCTACAGCAAATGTTTTTAATTTTTAAATTATTTTAATAATTTAATTTATTTTTTAAAATTCTTTTATAAATAAATTTGTTTTTTTTTTTTTTTTTTTTTTTTCAATAAAGATAGCCAATAAATTCAAAATTTTCTATTTTCCGTATTTTCTTCCGATTGCTAACTTTTAAAAACTCCTGTTATGTACATTATGTACATATACACATCGATTCATTATAGTTTTATTAGACAAGGGCTCCATAACTATGAAAATGAAATCAAAAGTATTTATTATTGTCTCTCCGTCTGGTTAGTGATATGATGCATACATATTTAGATACATATGTATGTGTAATCGATAGTCGAAACAATAGTAAAATGCTAAACTGTATGTATGTAACTGTAAAGACCTCAAGTATCTATACAAAAAATATTCCAAAGGAAACTACATATAATTTTGGCACTGCAAGCAAGCAAAATAGAAATAGAAATAGAATCTATGTATGCACAAATGAAATCATTTAGCCTCGACTATTTACATACGCCTTTTTTTAAGTATACAATTCTCCCTAGTATTTCTCAATAGTGATTGCCTTAAATGCTAAACTTAATGTATTTAGTAATAACAATAAAAGTCGACTAAATTTAAATTGAAAATTTGGTTTAGTACTAAAATCTCTGTTGAAGTGTACAAGAGGCACAAATGGCATTGATCGAATATTAACCATTAAGAAAATGCTCCAAGGCATCTGATGTTTCGAAGTCCTTCTCTTCAAGAACAACGTCTTCTAAACACAATTTCGTTGCTTTCGTTTCTATTTCTAAAAAGAAGAGAACAAATTAAAATATAATCATATATATGTATGTACATACTTGGAAGCTGTCCACTTTGTTTGTACTCTTCTAAATCACCGCGAAATGCATCATCGAAAACATCTTGACGTTCCTTTTGAAGTTGTCTTAAATGTTGTTCATGTGTTTGAATCTTTTCCTGATGCTTATCAGCAATCTTCTGTCTGTACTGCTCCAGGTCAATCAGTTTCTTTTGCTTGTGTTTGGATAGCTCAAACTGCTGTGCAAGTACGAATTCCTGTAGCTCGCATTCCTCGCATAGATTCTCTAACTTTTCAAGGTCTTGTTCCAGCTCCAGGCCCAATTTCTCCATAGCTCTAATTACTTCTGTACACTCCTTTAATTTGACCACTAATTCTGGTAGAGCCGAGAGACAACTATTTAGTTCATTTATTGTTGCGCGCTTCTCGTTAGCACTCCGCAACACGGCCGTAATTTGAAACGCCACAGTTTCAGCATTTTCAGCATTCTGTTCGTTGGCTGCGTGGATTTGCTGCCAGCTGTCCTCATATTTTGATAGCAAGTTGCAACCCGCGGCCATGTTGAGCTTTGTGGGTACAACGTCTGATAAATAGACGCTGCTACGACTGGAGAAAATGCTTCCGTTCAAGCTCAAGTGCGACGAATCGAGGTCAGTTGCTTTTGGTGTCGCCTCACTTGGCCGGGGGCCGCTCCCGACACGTTGGCGATACTGTTCCTGTAGGCTCTCTGAAATGACAATACCCTCCTGGATTGCATTACTTATTTTCTTTTTTAAGCTACCAAGCATTATATAATAAGCTACGTCTTAGTATTTTAAAAGGCAACTCAGCTGTTAATTAGCGCTGTGGTGTTTTAACACGAAATCAGCTGGTCGAAAAGTGTCAAGAGAGACGAAACTGTCATTTGACAGATCGCTCGTGAGAGCGAAGTCAGATTCATACATATGTATGTACATACATATGTAGATAGTTTGGTAGCGAAGAGAAGTAAAATCTCTTGTCTAATAATCTACAATCAGCTACCACCACTTTTTTGGTTTACTTTGACTACAACTTCCTTCTATAAAGATACTTTATATAAAAACAAAAGCTTTGTGATTAGTGTAGTTGAATATAAATTAGATTAGATTTCTTTAATTTTTTTTTTTTTTAATTAAAAATTTTTACACTAACTTATTAAGAGAGAATGCCGTTTATAGATACAGAATTTTATAAAAAAATACATCCCGAATAATTTTGTACTTAAAAATATCATCTAATCATCAGTCAAATCCACTGTAAGAGCAATATCGGCGGTATATCGTAAATCTGACGAGTGCGTTACCTCCATAGATGATGCGAAGCGTTCTTCTTTTGTCTGCTCCACATTACTCTCAATTATTTCTATATCACTTTCGCTATCGACGATAGTTAGATTTATGCAGCTGGAGTTGTCCGATTCACTTTCGCCATCATAGCGCTCACACCCGTCTGATTGCTCATCTTGGGAACTCACATCGATCGTAAGAATGGCTGGAATTTCATCACATGAAGAAGCTACAGATAGTTCATCAAACTGGATATCCTGTTTGAGCGTTTCATCATCCAACCTTAGCTCCTTAACAATGTCAGTCGACGGCGTGGCGGATGGAAGTTGCCTATTATCGGGTGTTAGATATAGATGTCGACTGTAAGCCATTGCCACTGCTAGAGCTAAATTTTTAGAATTGACAACGTCGGATGTAGGATTTGATAATTTCTCAGGTGATGGGACTGCTAGTTCACTACTAGTGCTTCTTCTATGATGTCTTCGCTTAGATTTCTTCTTGATTTTCCTGTGTTTCTTTTTGTGACCTTTGCTGCGACAGCGGTATTCTCTAGACGAGCTTCTGCTACTGCGTCTTTGTTTGAGATTGTTACTGTGGCAACTTTTACGTCCCCTAGATCCAGCGAGTTCTTCCCTGATGCATCGTTTATAAAAGACATTTCCTTTGCGTCTTTCGTGTCTGTAGTCTAATTCCCGAATTTTTTGTTGACAGTTCGCCCGAGTGCGCTCAACTGACCATTTGTTATGTCGTATCGCACTGTTTATTGTTCGTCCTAGGAACTTTTTGTTTGGTTTACCCAGCGGATTTATTTTGCGCTCTTGTGGCACATGACATACATTGGAATCTTGACGTGGCGATCCGCACATAAGCTCTGCAATTGCTAGACTAAGACAAATTAGGAAAAAACCTAGGTGATGGACAATAAAGATATTTTACTTTGTGAGAGCTGAGTCGTCCATACTCCCTATACTATTTATTTATACACAACAGATGTGTTTTCCCAAAGTAAGCAATAACTGTAAACACTCCATGGTCACCCAAATATTTTACATTAGCCCTAATGCTAATAGCAGTTTAATGTTAATATTCCCCGGCAAAGAAGTGAAGTTATTGACCAATTTTGTGCACTTAGTATTGTTCCAAAATTTACTTTAAGTACTTTTATTGACTTGCTGGCTTCGTACTTAAGTGTCCTGCTCAAGCTATGCTTCTTTTGATCTAACAGCTTTGATGCTGAAAGTGTGACGTCATAGCAGAACTGTTAGCTTACATTAATTGCATTTGCTAACCAAGTTTCGGCACAAACCATGGTCAGTAATTTCGGTAAAAGATGACAAACATAAAACAAATACATACACATATGTATGCATGTATGTACATACATAAATATGTACATATGTATGTATCTTAATCAGAACAACCGCACTCTTTAGATTAATTTTAATTATTTCTGAAACATTATTTTTTTTTATTTTAAGACAATTTATTTATAGTTAATTTTGGTAATGACATGATATGTCAATATCACAGTTTTATCACATTTAGTTGACCATGTTTTATTGTTATTGCCGATTCCCCATCACATTTTTCATCCATTTCACATATTTGCTGACACGCGTATATATGCCTGGAAGGCCTGGGCGGGCACAGCCAATGCCCGTAGACACAACGCCCAGTAAATAATGCTCCTTCGACATCAGTGGGCCACCAGAGTCAGCCTGAGAAGTGTGTAACATAACAACATTTAGTAATCCACTCTTAAGTTGCATACTCACCCAACATGAGTCAATTTGACCATCCTCATATCCTGCGCACATCTGAGTGTCGCTAATGCTATTGGATTTTCCTTGTGCTCGATATGAATGCTCACAGATCTCATTGTTCCATATTTTAACTCTTGCCTTGCGCAAGACATCGGCACGTTCGCCATCTGCCTGGTTCTCTTGAGTCCATCCCCAGCCAGATACTGTTCCGTATTCCGGCACCAAGCTACGATCCTCCTCCTCTGAACTGACACAGCTGGGCTGAATATGTGCCGAAAAGCCCATGGGTTGTACGAGTTCTAGCAGGGCTAATTTTGAAAATTTGGATTGAATCACTCCTTCTATTGACATAAACAAACGGATATTTACCGATATCATGTTGCACATTGTTGCAATCATATTGTGGATGTGGTATAATGCGCTTAAAGTCTACTCGAAAACCCTGGGGCCCGTCGCTGACAGAATTCAGATAATCCCGAATACTATGGACACCTACGACGCCTTGAATCTGCGTGGGTTTCATGATTTTCTGTAGACCATTACAAATACAATGACCAGCGGTAAGTATCCAGCGCTCATGTATAATGGTACCCCCACAAAAGTGGCCACCACGGCGCATTAGACTAACCATGAACGGCATTTCGTTCCGTTCCGCTTCGCTGCCGCCGACGATCTTAGGATTGCGGGCTGTGCAAGGCAGTCCTGTAACTATTGATAAAAAATAACAAAATGATATTATTGAGGAAGTTACTATCATTTTAATATTTTATACTTTTTTTTTGCTATTATTCTTATTATTGTATTTACTTTGATGTATTTCAAAACCTGTTCTGTTTCATTACAGTATTGTTTGATGGAATAGCTTAAAAAGCAACACCGTTTAAAATGTAAATTTAAATTAAAAATGTTAACTATGACATTTATTTAAATTATATGATGTCGATGCACTTACAAGCGATTTGAGCCTGCGCATAATTTACGATATGTATGATTACAAGGAGTTGCGCAAATTTCCACATATCACTACTATTCGAAAAGTGACCGTTACCCATATGCTGGTGCAAACCTAGTCAGCGAACTGTCACAAATATTCTGTGCGCAAATAAATTTATATAGGTTGACAGGCCGACTGAGCTAGTGACTTACTTGCTGCCGTTCTATGCGGATTAGTACTCATTTGACGAGTTTTGTTTTGTTGTTGCTTTTATTTTTGATAAGGAACGGAAGTTTCAACACCTGTTGCCGAGCTTCATGTTTGCTGAAACCGACGCAGTGCGAAGCGACGCTGACGTTGACTTCGACTGCAGCTCGGTGTCACCCAGCATGTGCAGCACGTATTAGCACTTCATATGCTTTATCTGTCTATCTCTTTCTCCGTCTCTCTATCTCTCTCTTCTTTCGTCCCTACTCTCTGTTTCGCTTACACCCACAACATTTTGGGTGCTGCCGAATACAACGAAATGGAAAACGCAAACAAAAGCCAACATCGAATTTGTTTTTGAGTTCGTGCTGCCTTTTTTATGACCCAGTGGAGTTCATGACATTGAACAGTTGACAAATAGTTGAGCTAATATGAGTAAGTGTATTTACTTCAGGTTTACTAAATGTATACATATGAATGTAAAGAAATATTTTATAGAATGGGATATCTCTATTAGCCTTATAATACCTTGAACCTATTGAAAATGGGAACTCAGGGTATAATGGTTTTGTGAAAAATATGTAACAGGCAGAAGGAATCATCGCAGAGCGGGTCGACATTATAATCAATCAGATTGTGTTATAGCTTATATCTCCTACAGCTTAAGAGCTAGAAGCTTCAAACTTGGATAGTTAAGTTACTATTAACCTCCTCTATCGATTTCCCAAATAATATTGTTCCGCCTCTTTGGGAGCGTGGCATATAAAAAATACCCTGTAATTTTGTTAATTTTTGGAGCGGAAGCATCCAAACTTTGCAGCTAGGTTAAGGCTAGCTTGTTCCAAGAGTCCAGTAGGGACGTGACAAATTGAGAAAAACTGAACTTTCTACAGTACTAGAGCTAAACTTAGCTACTAAATTGCTTCAGAGGTGTGAATGAGTATTCTGTAGTTGGTAACGCCCGATTGCAACGTTCTTACTTGTTATACCCTGAGCCCATTGAAAATGGGAAATCAGGGTATAATGGTTTTGTTAAAA